AGATTCACACCTCTCTGAACTAAAAAGCTGATGTGAGATGATCTTCTGGGAGACTTGCTGGTTGAGAGAAGCATCAAACAATGGCAAGCCAAAGTGGCACTCCAGCAGATGCCACTGATCAACAGCTGGACCACCTAGAGGCAATGTCATGCCCTCTCTGCCACTGTTCAAAAAATAAATAAACATTTAGTATGTTACAGCTTCCTATGGTCAATGGTAATTCACTTACTACTAGTTTTTTTCTTAATGATCAAACATCCAACCATCAACAGCATCTCAATAACCAATATCTTCTTACACAACCATATCTTTCAAGCAATAGTACTCCAATAGCAACAAGATTCAACTTAAACATATTTTACAGTTACTAGTAACTCAACATTCTTCTTAAACACACACATCCCACATTCAACTTCATTCAAGAAGCAAAGAATGCTTCAAAAACATCATGACTTTTCTATGCCAGATAAAAACTAACCTTCGAGGATCCTGCCCCTCACTCCTCTCATGCACAATGCTTGCCACATCATCAAAACTAATAACTTGAGGAATGGAGGACCCAGCCGGGTCAAAATCTTCACCAGGTACTGCAGTGTCCATTAGGTTGCCCGTGAATTCTTTGGAGGCATCAGGTGCTGTCACATCATTAGGTGTAGGGTCTCCACTTAACGCCACTGAGCTGCTGTTAATGAAAGCCCGGCCAGGGGTGCTGGTTGACCCTTGGGGCATCCCTGTTGTGATCTCGGCGGCAGTCATCGCATTGACACCAGGAGTGTCCGCAGCAGGAAAAGCCACAAGTTTAATAAACCCAAATGTGTGCTGCAGGTCTAGCTGTTTGGCTAAAGCCTGTACAGCAGGATGGTTTACCTTTTCTGAAAAAGAGAAAGAAGAAATTACATTCTGGGCTTTTCTACTCGTATCTGAAACTATATACAAGTTGTATGAATCTCCTAAAAATTCATGATTTTTTCTTATAATGTTAAAAGGAAACACCAAAGGTCAAAAAAATATTCTAAACACAATGATGCCAACCAGAAATCTAACCCATCAGCAATCTTTTCAACAAATTTGTAGATTTTCAGTAATTTGGTGGTTCAGTAATTTGGTGGTACCTATCAGTAATGAACCATATGAGGCATTATTTTGACAAATATTATCTTTTCAACAAGCTGAAAACATGAAAAAATCAGATGAGGATTACTTTTCTAAGAAAATTCACCTACTTTAGGTTCACCTACGTTACGTTTTTTACTTGGCAGTTCAGTCATATTCACACACGAAAATGGCATAAGAGAAAAATCAGCACAGACTTGTCAGTGAACGTTAATGTTCAGTGCACTGAGGTGATCACCATTTGCAATCTATTCTCGCTCAAGCCAAATCTCAATGTATGCAGTATATACACAATAGTAGCAAGGCTGCCAGTTACTGGGTTGGCTGCACGATATCAGAGATCGTTGCTAGTGCAGTGAAGACAATCAGAAGTGGTGGGAAAATCAGGATTTTTAAAACAGACTGAAATTTTTCTGAAAATCGTAATTTCAGCCCCTATGGCCCGAAGGGAGTAAAAAGCGTAAAAAATTGTAGTGATTACAGGCAAATTGTAATGTTTGGCATCACTGAAAATACCATTTATGTTTCTGAGATTGTTATAACCCTTATCCACACTGGATATAATACATGAAAATATTGAAACAACATTAAACATCAAGGTATATAAACAAATTCACAAATACAAAAGATAAAGCTGGTTTACAAATCTAAAAATATATATACACAAAAACTTAATACAAGTTTTCTATATCACTACAAGCTCTATTATACTGGAATAGATGAAAAATTGACATCAATTCAAAAATCAATATCACTCAAAGTACAATTTTCAATGTATTGGTATATGTTTGAATTCTCTTTATATATCCACAAACAAAATAAAAATAATAATAATAATAATAATAATAATAATAATAAATAATAATAATAATAATAATAATAATAATAATAATAATAATAATAATAAATAATAATAATAATAATAATAATATAATAATATAATATTAATATTACATTATATATCATCATTATCATTATACATAACAATAATAGTAATATCAATAATAATAACAAAAAATTAAAAATACTGATTCAATAATAATAATAGCTATAATAACAATAATATCAATAGTAATAATAGTAATAATAATAATAATAATAATAATAATAATAATAATAATAATAATAATAATAATAATAATAATAATAATAATAATAATAATAATAATAATAATAATAATAATAATAATAACAACAATAACAATAACAATAACAATGATAATTATATCTATAACTATGATTATTATAATCATAATAATGATTATGAAAGCAAAAAATAATGATAATAATAACAATAACATTACAATAATAATAAAAATATTAATAATCATAATAATAACAATAACAATAATAATAATAATGATAATCATAATCATAATAATAACAAGAGTGAAAGAACTCAACTAATATTCTTTTATAAAGAAAAAAAGCATAACCATAACAACTTCAAATGAACTTAGAACGTAGATATGATATCTAGAGAGAAAGAAGAAAAGAAACTTACTTGAATTTTCTAGGGGAAATGGAATATACTGAATACAAACATCATGATACCATCCATAAGCCTGAAAAATAGATTAGAATTTACAATGTCAGGCATATGTGAAAAAGAAATCTAAATTCACTGATAAAACATTTATATGGCTATACTACCAAAAAAAAAAAAAGATTTAAAAAAAAAAAACATTTCCAAAATAACACAGGATGTTTCTAGCCCATATATCAAAATTGAGAGACTAATGCGTAATTCTCAAATGAAACGAGAATTTCCCAAAACAACAAACCTACTAGAATGAACAAGGGAGACAAATCCGACATGTTCTCAAATCAACCCATTAACCGTTACTTCTCCGAACAAAGAAGACGATAAACCCACAAAGACGATACACCCACCTGGATGAACACAGGTGAATGCATCAGGGCCTCGTTGACGGTGGTGAAGAGGGCAGCAAGAGGCACCACGGTTGGATCATGGCCCCAGGGGGTGACCAGAACTTTCTCGTACCCCACCAGGCACTCCGGCAGACGACGTAATCTTTCCCCTTTTTGGGAGGGAGAGGGGGGGGGATGAATGTGAGGTGGAAGAAAAAATGACAGAGAAGATAAAACAAGGGGGAGGGCGAGGGAGAGGGAGGGAGAGGGAGAGGGAGAGGGAGGGGAGAGGGAGAGGGAGAGGAGAGGGGAGGGAGAGGGAGAGGGAGAGGGAGAGGGAGAGGGAGGGGGAGAGGGGAGGGGAGGGGAAAGGGAAAGAGAGGGAGGGAGGGAGGGAGAGAGGGAGGGAGAGGGAGGGAGGAGGGAGGGAGAGGGAAAGGGAGGGAGGGAGAGGGAAAGGGAGGGAGGGAGGGAGGGAGAGGGAAGGAGGGAGGGAGGAGGAGGGAGGGAGGGAGGAGGGAGGGAGGGGAGGGAGAGAGAAGAGAGAGAGAGAGAGAGAGAGAGAGAGAGAGAGAGAGAGAGAGAGAGAGAGAGACAGAGAGACAGACAGACAGACAGAAGACAGACAGACAGAGACAGACAGAGACAGACAGACAGACAGACAGACAGACAGACAGACAGACAGACAGACAGACAGACAGACAGACAGACAGACAGACAGACAGACAGACAGACAGACACACACAGACACACACACACACACACACACACACACACACACACACACACACACACACACACACACACACACACACACACAGAGAGAGAGAGAGAGAGAGAAGAGAGAGAGAGAGAGAGAGAGAGAGAGAGAGAGAGAGAGAGAGAGAGAGAGAGAGAGAGAGAGAGAGAGAGAGAGAGAGAGATTCAGCTTTATTCCACATACTGTATCTAAATATCTTCACGCTTTACACTGTCACAAACCTTACACTAACATAATTCCAAGGCAAAATGACCTCACAATCTTCCTCCTTAACTTACCTTTAGGTAATAACAGCGATGGAGGACCAGAGCTTGTGATATGATAGAGGAACAGTTTGAACCATATCGAGTTAACCTCAGGAATAGCAGGACCAAAATGGGGAGGCGTTTCACCTTCTATTGCTGATATCTCATAGCTTAGAGGGGCCATAGAAACAAGAAACCTGTAAAAAAAAGAAAAAAGACAAAAAATGTACAAATAACAGTAAACTTTGAGAAATATACTCTGTCAGACTAATACAACAAAACACAAAAATAAATACTCAATACATAAATGTATAGAATATATGACAATCACTTCTCCACCCCACACACACAAAATGTCAATCACACACATTCTCAAATACACATGTCACACACACACACACACATACACACATAATCATGCATAATACACATGCACATACATATATACATAAATACATATATACACACACAAACACACTAATCATATCAATCCCATACATGTTTTCACTGACAAATAAAATGAAATAATTGCAATCTAGGGCAAGAGATGAACCCTCACTGGTAGTTTTTCTTCAGTAGTCGAGCAGTGGTGGCTGGGTCAAGGTTACTCAGGCTCTCCCATCGGATCAGGTCAAGGGCATGGGGGACCTCCTGACCAGGGGAGCAGAGGTCCCGGTTGTGCCGGAGGAAGGTCACTGATGTGCGCAATGTAAGGGCATGCTCAAAGTAGCGCTGTGCTTCACCTTCCGAGTCTGACCTGCAGGGGAGATCATGAAGTTGAGGTATGTCTGGTTGTGTTTAAATAAAATTAATATACTTTTACAGTTATTTTTCACTGCAATACTTCATTTCTTTTCTTTCTTTACCAAATTAACTACTTTAGAGAAAGAGGTAAAGAGAGACAAACAGATTCAAATAAAGAAATAAAACACCCAAAAGGCTTTACAATCATGTCCCATTCTAATGACTAAACTACCCAATACACACAAAAAGATTACCTCATAATACAG